CCATTCTTCATGTCTGTCTCCTCTCCCATCCTCTCACTGGCTCAGTCATGGTGTAATGCGGGTATAATGAGCCCATGCTTGCGAACAGTTTGGCTTCTAAGACCCTCACAAATGCTTTGGATTATGTTCTCATTCAGAGGAACAGGGCTGGGACAGTTGCTACAGCCTTCCAGACATAGGTAAATGAGGGGTCCCCGGGGTCCATGGTTCAGCACTAGTAAACAGGAAGTTTGAAAGATTAGAAAGGGAAGATCTCTTTGGGGACGCTGGGGAGCAGTGCAGTGAGTTATGGAGCCGAGATGTCAGCAAAGTGAATGGGGCCAAACACTTGTGAAGTCTCTCGTCTAAAGAGAGCTGAGATCGTGCCCACCAGCCGTTCCCTTCACGTGGGCTACCCCGCGAGGCTTCAGATGGGTCTCTGTGGATTCCCACTTGCTCACGACTGCCCATCTTGGGGCTCTCGACAGGAGAGCAGAGTTATGACAGAGCTGTGTGCTTCCCTAGAGAGTGTTCACTGAAGTTTAGTGTTAATCTTGCTTGATTTAAGCCTTCCCAGATTCCCTGCAAAGGCTATAAACAGCAAAGTAATGAAATTGATCCTCGAAACAGAACAGGGAGGAGACCTCATCACGGGGGTGGGCAGAGAAGCCCCACCAGGGGAGGAGAGAAATGAGAAATGGGCAGGAAGGCCTGGAAGGCGTCTCCGCTCTAAGAATGGAAGGAATACCTCCCCAAGGGACCCCGAAGGCTGCGGTATATCCAACAGCGTCATTCTGGCTGAGATGTTGGGGGTGAGAGGGCCCCGCTAGTTAGGGTGAGGTTTTGGTGGTCACAGCACAGAAGGCATTGCCTCGCCTGGGGTGCTGCTTTATGGAAAACTGATGGCAGAGCTGGTAACCTCCCAGGCAGAGTTATCCTCCTAAGCTCTTGGCAGATTGATGACGGAGTAGCAGCCCAAGACACAAAAGCAGGGCTGAAGAGGTTGATTTCTCAGGATACGTAGAAAGGGTTCCCATCCTTGTCAGCCTTCCTTCTGCTGCTGTGCCCACCCTCCTCCAAAGCATGCACACACACACACACACACACACACACACATATTCATGCACACAGCTGAAAACGCACTAACTCTATCACATAGAGGGTACCCAGAGTCTGTTACTATGGAGAGGAAACTCAAGCAGGAAATTCAGGAGGTTATGATACTCTTACTGATCAGGGTCCTTGTATTGGAGTGCAGTTGCTTTTACAATGTTGTTTTACTTTCTGCTCTATAGCAAAGTGAATCAGCTATATGTATAGCTGTATTTCCTCTTTTTTGGATTTCCTTCCTGTTTACTTTTTCTGAAGCTCTTGAGTGTAATTTACATACATCGTGGTTCTTTACTTCTGAACACTTCAGAGTGGATTTCCTAGGAACAGGAAGATGATCAGGGTACAGTCATGAACTATTGGATTTGCTTCAATTCTATATCTAATTTACCATATGTATTCTGATGTTCATTGATAGATTTCCTTTTCCTTCTGGCACAGGATCCATTCTGACATTAAGGACTATATTTGGTTGTCATGTCGCATTCACCTTGTGTTGTCTTTTTAGACTCTAATATTTTTTAAAGTACAGTCCCCCACCAACTTTTTAAATACAATTTTCATGCTGTGTTTTTCTCATATTTCCTCATGATTCAATCGGGATTCTGCATTCTTGGCCAATAAATGTCGTAGATGATGGTGTGTCCTGCTCAGCTGTCACATCTAAAGATATACACTGTCCATCTGTCCCTCTCCTGGTCAGTGTTGCCTGATTTCCTCAATGTATAATTACTGAGGCTTTTTTCCTCCTCTGCAATAATAAGTAGTCTGTAAGGAGACACTTTAAGGTGGTGTGTAGAGGCTTATACATAAACAGACATACATGCTGTTCTTCATCAGAATTTTCCCAAGAGCTGGCACCCATTGATGGTTCTTGCCTGATCTGGTCCTGACCGTGATGATCGTTGATCCCCCAGCTCCAGAAGTAATAAGAGCCCTCCCTTCTCCTGTCAGTTTTTCTGTGGTATGGATTCCTATTTTTTCAATGACTCATAATTGCATTATTATACATAAATATTTCAGTACTCAAGTTGTTTAGGCTGGCTTCCATATACTTGTGACATGCCCCTATCATTTTTTTTTTTTAGCAGTCTCTTAATTTCTGAAATAGCAAGATGTTCCAGATTCATCTTCTGTCTACCTTTTGCCCCAACTGTAGAATTAATCATTTCTTCAAGGTGCCCTGGCTCTTTTTAGTGGGAAATGGTATGAGAGCCCCATATCTGGGTTGCTAGGCATGCTCAATGCTATTTTGATGTCTTTGCTTCCTGGAAATTCCAACAAAGTTATATGTCTACACATAGCTACACATATAGATACCTCTATACATATATGTGGGTGTAAACAAATATCTGCGTACATAAACACATTTTTGAAATTATGAATTCCCACTAATGCCTTCGACTTCAGTCCATCCCCAGCGGGTTCTTTCTTGTCTCTTCCATTCTATATTTCTGATCCCCTTTTCCATAGTGAGATCCCTGGGTCCAAACCAATCAATGCATTAACTCTTATCTGCTCAGTCTTGAATTAATCTAAAATAACTTCCAAGTTGCTTTGCCCATGCTACAACAACAGAATAAGTTTCTTTGAAGGTTCAAGATTTGTTTGCACTTCTTCCCCAATCCTACCCTATCACACCCTAGACTGAGGTTACACAGTCCAAACTATGTCATAGTAGATTAGTTTTTTCCTTATTTCTGCATTTAGCATATTTATTGTATTCATTCCAGCAAGCAAGGCTTATCGGGTTCCAAGTATTTTTATTAATAAAATTTAATTTTTCAATATGTAAAAACTTAACATACTTTTAGAAATCCAAACTATACACAGAATTAGAGTGAGAGGACAGTGAATCTTTTCTGTAGTCTTCCCCCCCACTCCATCCCTTGTAGAAAACAGCTTTGTTGTTTTTTCATTGACTCTTCCTGTGTTTCTTCTTTTAGTGATAAGCATATATATGGATGCCTTATTTTCCCTTCTTTCTTATAAGAAAGATGGCACACCATAGGTGCCACTTTGCACTTTGTTGTTTTCTTGTAATACCTCCTGGAGGCGACTCCACATCAGTTAATAGAGATGCCTTTATTCATTTGTTTAGCTGCGCTGAGCCCCACTGTGGGTATGTATACCATTGGATGTTAGTCAGTCTCCTGTAGTTGCATGCTTAGATAGTTCCCAGTCTTTGCCATTACAAATAATCCTGTAATGAATAACCTTGCCACATATATTTTCAGATTGTCAGAGTTATTTATCCTAGACAAATTCATAAAAGTGTGATTGCTGGGTCAAAGGGTAAACGCATATATTAAACCCCCTCTACAAGCCTTGGGCCATTTTTGCTTTCAGACCCCAACTCTCCACCACCTAGGCCAACAGAGTGTATTGTCAAGCCTCTGCATTTTCGTCCATCTGATGGGTGAGAAATGTTATCACAGTATAGTTTTAAACTGCTTTTATCTTATAAGTAAAGTTAAACACCTTTTTATTCACTTGGGTATCACTTTTATATCTCTTTTCATAATTGTTCTGGTCTTTTGTTCCTTTTTCTATAGGATTTTGTCTCCTTTATTTCCTTTATTTTTAAAAGCTCATTATAAATTTGGTATATTAATTCTTCATCTGTGATGTATGTTGTGAATATTTTCTCCTTGTTTGTCATTTGCTTTTTTGGCCATGCAGAAGTGTTGTTTTACTGTTTTACTTTAATATAGTCACAAGTATTCATCTTTTCTTCTATTGCCTCTGGATGTTCAGGCATGGTTTACAAAATCCCCCCACCAGATATCTCCCAAGCAGTTTAGTTGTCATCATCAGTTGCACCCCCACATCCCAGCACAAAAGCCCTGGTCAGCTTGGTGCAGACCACCTCATTTCTCAAACATTCACTGGGATGTTTGTGTTTATTCTCCCTATTTTGGGCATTTTCTTCTGGTCATTCATAAAAAGACCAGATCTTGTAAGGAGGAAGGGGTATGTAGTGTCTAGGGGAAGGGGAATAATATTCTGAATGGAGGAAGGCATCACTTGGGTTTTATTTAGGAAGCACGAGTTCCCAGGGAACAAGCACTAGATCAGCCTTCCGACGTGAGACCTGTTCCTGCCTCAGTCCCGTCCACCCTCAGCAGGTCCTGCATGAGGCAGCGTGTGAGGCAGAGGCTGTGCCCATCCTGTATCCTCACACCGCCCCCTCCTCCTCTCTGCAGTGCCTCCCCCCTCCCCACCCCACCTTGGCTGGATGCAGAGTCTTGATGGGGACTGTACTGGAGCCAGATTCATCCTTGTCCCTATAGAAGCAGAATCCTGCTTTGGGTACCACGTGCCAGGGATGGATATGTGCTGAGCCACATCAAGCAAGCTATATTTCTTCTTGGGCTTCCGTGGTGGCTCAGTGGTAAAGAATCCACCTGCCAATGCAGGAGACGTGGGTTCCATCCCTGTGTTGGGAAGATCCCCTGGAGAAGGAAATGGCAAACCACTCCAGTATTCTTGCCTGGGAAATCCCATGGACAGAGGAGCCTGGAGGGCTGCAGTCCATGGGATTGCAAAGATTCAGACACAACTTAGCGACTAAACACCAACATTTTTTCTTATTTCATGCCAGGGATCTGAGCAAGGTGTAGACAGAATGGGCAGCTAGGCTGGCCTGTGTATTTTTATAAGTTTGCCAGAGATCACGAACTCTCCCTTCCCAGATGTTGGGATGTCCTGGTCCCTTAGCCATTCGATCCTGCCCTCCATCCCCCTTTGCTCTGATTACCATCAGGTCACCTGGAGCTCAGGTGGGCTGACTTGGACCCAGAGGTGAGGATGAGCACAAGGGTGGGAGACAATAAATGAGCGGGGCGTCTGGAGAGGGGTGGGTGCGGCACACCCCTGCCTGGGGTCTGACGGTGCTGGCTTCGTCACAGTGAGGTCAGCCGCTGGTGACGGAGATGCGCTGTGTGTCACAGAAGAAGAGCTGGCTGCTGACGACGAGGACATGCCGTCCTTCCCGTGCACACAGGAGGGTAAGGGCTCCGGAGTGCCCCTCTGATCCCCTCTCTGGGCTGAGAACCACCCCGCCCCTGCCCTCAGCCCCAGGCTGGGAGAGACTTGCCTATCCACATGGCTTCACTGTCCAGGCTGTTCATTCCCCACCGCTCCCTGGAGGCTTAAAGGGCGGAGTTGCACAGGCCTGGGTTATGCGGTACAGACGAAGTCAAAGTTTGTCACATGTGACATCTGTCTCCAGGGCGGGGACCTCTGCCATCTCCCCAGGGCCCACCTTCCAGTTGGCCCAGAACTGTCCCCTTCATCCTGCCACTCAAGTGGCCAGTCCTTCTCAAGTCCATGGGACCCAGCTTGGCATGAGAAACCAAGGCCCTGTGAACTGTTATTTGGCGTAGGGCTTCTCGGTGGGTCTCAGTCTAGATTATCAGCCTTGACTGTGCGTTGTCATCACCCAGGGATGTCTGAGACTGACCCTCAGAAATTCTGATCTCTTGGTCTGGAGCGTGGATGGACACCAGGGTTTTTATTTTTTATTTTTATTTTTTTTGTGTGTGTAATAAAGTTTTATTAAAGTATAAAGGAGAGAGAGAAAGCTTCTGACATAGGCATCAGAAGGGGGCAGAAAGAGTACCCCTCTGCTAGTCTTTAGCTGGATGTTATATAGTCACTTGCAGTCTGTTAATGAAAAGAAGTGAAGTTGCTCAGTCGTGTCCGACTCTTTGCGACCCCATGGACTGTAGCCTACCAGGACTCTCAGTCCGTGGGATTTCCAGGCAAGAATCCTGGAGTGGGCTGCCATTTCCTTCTCCAGGCGCCAGGGTTTTAAACATTCTTGTTACTCACAATGCGCAGCTGAAGTTGGATCCATCTTAGACATTGCACGACCGGGGGCATCACAGCTTCCTCGCTGGGCAGTGACCACCTCCCAGAGTCTCCAGGAACACTGGCTTCCCTCCTGCTTCTGTACGAGGGACCAGCTGACACACGGGAACCATCCGTTTGGATTCCAGGAGAACCTCAAGTGACCTCCACAGTTTGGGGACTAGTGACCGGCCTTCTGGTTGGCCTGGGACTGAGGGGTTTCCCAGGAGGTGTGACTTAGAGTTTTTAAAACTGAGACAGTCTTGGCGAGTCATCCTGGTTTGCCCGATTTTGAGGAGTTCCCTTAACAAGAGACTTTCAGTTCTAAAATCCAGGAACATCCTAGGCAAACTGGGAGGTGGTGGTCACCCACTGGCGAGGCAAGGCTGGCTGCCCCGTAGTGCGGATCACGACTAAGGCTGATGCCTTGGACAGGGGCGACTCCCTACAATGTGGGCTGAATGATGACGCCACGGAGACAAAGGATAACATGATAACAGTGTTCTTCCAAGGCCCTGACTCTGGTCTCACCTATTCCTAAAAGCTGTGGGCTTCCCAGGTGGTGCTAGTGGTAAAGAACCCACCTACCAATGCAGGAGACATAAGAAACACAGGTTTAATCCCTAGGTCGGGAAGATCCCGTGGGAGGGCACAGCAACCCACTCTAGTAATCTTGCCTGGAGACTCCGATGGACAGAGGAGCCTGGTGGGCTACAGTCCTTGGGGTCGCTCAGAGTCAGACACAACTGAAGCGACTTAGCACGCATGCCCATTCCTGAAAGCTCCAGGACCTCGAGAAAAGGCAGTGATGTGGGTGGAGATGGAGACCAGCGCGACAGCCCCCTTTCTGAGGATGGTTCAAAATGTGCCGAGACAGGCCAGAACAGGAGAACTGACCCTTTTAGTCGCAGCCTCCACCACTGGGCTTTTTTTGTCGCCATCCCTCCCCACCCCCCACAGGCCGACCGGGACCCCGCTGCAGCCGCTGCCAGAAGAACCTGTCTTTGCACACGTCCGTGAGGATTCTTTACCTCCTCCTGGCCCTGCTCCTGGTGGCCGTGGCCGTGCTGGCCTCTCTGGGTGAGTGCAGGCTGCCAGCAGGATTGGCTAGTCCAGGGCGCTCTACCCTGGGCTGTTGGGGAATTTCTCATCAGTGGTCTGTTGGGCACCAGAACCCCAAAGACAAGCACAGATCTCTGCAGCTCAGGACCCACAACAGCATCTTCCTGGCTAGGGGCTCTGAATGCCTGCTCCAAACTGGGAAGACTGGCTCCTAATTTCTGGCCAATAATGAGCTGTGTGGCTTCGGTCCCTCATAGGACCTATGTTTTCCTACGGGTAAATGACAAGATGGGCTTCCCAGTGACTCATTTGTTTAAGCATTCTCCTGCTAATGCAGGAGATGCAGGAGATGTAGTTTCGATCCCTGGGTCAGGAAGATCCCCTGGAGAAGGCAATGGCAACCCACTCCAGTATTCTTGCCTGGGAAATCCCAGGGACAGAGGAGCCTGATGAACTATAGTCCATGAGGTCACAAAGAGTCAGATACAGCTAAGCAACTGAGCACGCACACGCACAAATGACAGGATAGGACTAGACAGCAGCTCTCAGTTTCAGCTCCATGTTAGAATCATCTGGGAGCTGTAAAAAAAAATATGATGCCCGGGCCCCACCCTGGATAATGGAATTAATTCAGTATTTAAGCTCTTCAGATGATTCTGGTGTACTTCCAGGCTTAAGGTCACCGGATCAGATGACTTCCAAGCCCTTTCCATGGTCCCTATGTTTCTCAAAGTGAGGTTGGATGCCTATCTGCATCAAGGTCACCCCCAGGATCTGTTAAGACACAAATTCCTAGGTATCACCCAGGCCTAGTAAATCAGAGTCCTGCCAGTGGGGCCCAGGGATCTGAAGCTTGGTGGTTCTCATACGCTCAACAGTTTGTGTGACACTCTGCATGCTGCCAGATTCAAGTAACCTCTGCCTTCTGCAGGCTTTCCTGGTAGCTCAGCGGTAAAGAACCCACCTGCCAATGCAGAAGTTGACAGTTCGATCCCTGGGTCAGGAAGATCCCCTGGAGAAGGAGGAAATGGCAACCTACTTCAGTATTCTTGCCTGGGAAATCCCATAGACAGAGAAGCCTGGCAGGCTGCAGTCCGTGAGGTCGCAAAGAGTCAGACACGACTTAGCAAGTAAACAACAACAACTGCCTTCTGGATGCTAACCATTTATGTTAAAAAGTAAAAACAAATTTGAAAGCTTCTTACTGCAATCCCATTCCATTCCTAGCTTCATTCTTTAAAACTCTTCTGTACAAAGGGAAGCCAGTAGGTTTGCTTGCTCCAGTGGACTAGACACGAGACAGCGGGGCTGGGCCTCGGGTGAGGCAAGGGAGACACGGAGGATGGTCCCTGTGGGTGCCGACCCTGCGCTTGTATGACCCCTAGGGTGGGGTGCTTCGTCCTGACCCCTCTTAGAGATATGCAGTAACTGGCTTTCCAGGCTTGAAGGCGAGAGGCCAGCACGTTAATGATTTGAACAAACAAATCCTTGTTGGAATCATCTTCCAATAATCCTGAAGGTGTTAATGAAATTCAGCACAAGCCAGCACCTCCTACGTGTCAGGTATTGAGAACACTGAGATGAGTCCATTGCATTTCACCCTCAGAAGGACTGGTTCTCAGTCTTGTCTGCAGGTTAGAATTCTTTTGAGAGCATTTAAAAATGCATGTGCTGGAGCCCTCCTCACCATGTGAATGAAATCAGTCTCTGGGTAAGACCCAGGCTTTAATCATAGAGGAAAGCTCCCAGGCGATCCCAATGAAGTGGAATGTTGGGAACCACTAACTAATCATTAAAATATTCTAATAGCTATTATAATAGTTATATAGTAATAATAGTTATTAAAATAATTATAATAGTTATTAACAATTTAAAAGTTCACTCTCCCTGTTAGTTTATATTAAATTATTATAACTGTATAATAAGATATTAATATCTTGTTATTATTTATTAATTATAACATAATTGTTATCTTAATATTATATACTAACTATTGTTTTAATTATTATCTTGTTATATTATTAATTATAACTTATTAATAGTAACTTATTAATTGTATAATAAGATGTTATTGATAAATAATAAATAACACATTAACATGCTTATGAGATTTACCTAGTGGTCCACTAGCTAAGACTTTGCAGTCCCAATGCAGGGGGCCTGGGTTCAATCCCTGGTCAGGGAAATAGATCCCACATCGTTTTAGCTAAGAGTTAGAGAGCCACAACTAAAGATCTTGCATGCTGCAATAAAGGCTCAGCAGAGCCAAATAAATAAATACATATTTTAAAAATAAATTTCTTCTAAAGAAAAGAACTTCCCCAGCCCCTCACCCCCACTCAGCTCTACCTCTCTCTCTGCTAAATCACTTCACAGAGTCTGGACACCCAGAAAGTGGCTGAGATCCCTGGTCAGAGGAGGGTGAGGAGCTGTAGCTCTGCCATTTAGAGGCAGCAACCTGGCCACTGGACCCTTAGCAGCTCCTGGTCAGCCCTCAGAGAGCCTGGGCTCCCAGCACCCATGGGACCACTAAGACAACTCCAATAGCACATGGAGAAGAGCCTGTATAGGCACCAGAGCCCTTCAGAAGGGACGGACAGTTACTGAGTGCCCACTGGATGCCCACTGGATGCCAGGCACTCTCCCATACATGATGGTCACGAGTCCTCTGAACAAGGCCCCGAAATGGGAGGCTGGCTCCACTCCACATACGAGAGGGCAGAGTGGGAGGTGAAATGATTTCCTCCAAGATCCAGGGTGAATGGGCTGAGGATTATAAGAACTGGGGTGTGTCTGGGAAGCAGTGTGTCTGGGAGATCAAAGGAGAACTTTCGATTTTCCTTTTTATTTTCACCTCCAGCCTGGTTGTCCCCACTCCTTAGGATAGTGCTGGCCTTGTTCATTGGGTTTATAATCTAGAGTACAGTTGGCAACCTTTCTTTGTCAAGGGTTAGGAAGTAAATTCAGACCATGTATTGACTTGGTCGAAATCAAACTCTGCCATTGCAGTGTTCCCAACAGTAGGGAATTTTTATATAATTGCTGAATTGTTTATATAGAGTATGAAACAGACATTAAAGTAATGATTTTAAAGTGACTTAAGGCTCAATAAGAAAATGTGCATGACACAATACCAATAAAGCAAAAAAAAAAACGTCCCATTTTTGTACTGTTGTCTTCTACAAAACCGTGTAGCTATAGCATGTATAGGGGCTTGCCTCAGTGGTAGACGACCAGCCTGCCAATACAGGAGACACATGCTCGATCCCTAGGTCAGGAAGATTCCCTAGGGAAGGAAAAGGCAACCCACTCCCATTCTTGCCTGGGAAATCCCATGGACAGAGGAGGCTGGCATGCTGCAGCCCATGGGGTTGCAAAGAGTCAGAAACAACTTAGCAAATAAACAACAACAGCAATGTAGCTATAAAATGACTGAGATAAATAAGGTTTAAGAGATATACAACAATGTTGATGACAGCTGTATCTCGGTGGTAGGATTAGGAATAATTTTTATATTCTTTGTATATTTCTTTCTTATTTGTCCCTATTCTAGCCTATGGTCAGGTTATAGTTCTAAAATCTGAGTGGATGGAAATTATATATGTATATGCATGATTTATGTATTATATATTCTAATGCATACATATATACCTCCATATGTACATATACACTTAAGGGAGATATGTAAAGAGACTATATATATCTATGTCTATAGATAGACACTAAGTCCCCTACATACAAACGAGTTCCATTTCATGAGCACCTTCGTATGTCTGGTTTGTTCGTAAGTCCAGCAAAGTTGGCCTAAGTACCCAACTAACACAATCGGCTATATAGTATAGTATTGTCATAGGTTTATATACTTTTCACAAAAATAATACATGAAAAACAAGCAAACACAGAAAAAATAAATACAACATTTTTAACCTTACACTACAGTAACTTGAAAAGTATAGTCGTCCAGTACAAAAGCTGGCGTACAAGGGCTGGCATCGAGTGAACGGGCAAGAAGAGTTGGTGACTGGAGGAGGTGGGAGATGGCAGAGATGGAGGGTCATTAACAAGAGGAGACAGAGGCGAGCTGTGATTTCACTCACGCCTGACGCTGACGGCACAGGCTCTCTTGCTCCTTGCTGGACTCAATTCTATCTACGTTCTTGCTTCCAGACATCCTGGGTTTGCAAGAAAGATATTATACTACTGTACTCTACACAGCACTCTACAGTGAGTTACACAAAAGCACCCCCACTCGTAGAGGATGCACGTGTGTGAGAGTGTACGCCAGACACGTGAACTAGCTTACGTGATTGGACATGCATACACACGTTCGCATCTTTGACAGTTTGAAACCTGAAGGTTCTTATGGAGGGGACTTCTGGATATAGATATATAGATACACAGATACGTTTTTGAGAGAAGTGTGATAGACTCTGGCCATTGAAACATCTTCCCTTACAGCCATTGGGAAGCCCCTTAGAAGAAGAGTGGATGGTTTCGGCTAACGAGGGGCAGATAAAAATGCCTTCTCAACAAACGACTGCTGTTTCTCTGAGCTAAGCCCCTTTTCTCATTCCTGTTTCCCCTGAAGTCTTCAGGAAAGTGGACTCTCTCTCAGAAGACCTCTCCCTGGCCCAGGCCATGTATGACAAGAAACTCGTGTCTATGCAGAAAAATCTCCAAGGGCTGGGTAAGTGTCCAGGGTTTAGATGTGCTAACGAGCAGGAATGAAGGCCAGTATTACTTGGAGTGGGACCAGGGATCCCCCAGGCCATGGTGCCCTGAAAAGGGCAGCCTTCACCAAGCTTCTAGGCACAAGGAAAGGACAGTCATGGTCCCTGCCTCCCTGTCCAAATGGAGAACCCACCCAACAAGGGCTGCTACCCTGGGATATGCCCAGGAGTGGGGCTGAGGGTTCTGTATGTGGCACAGATCTGCCCAGAGCCTCTAGGTAGAGAAGAAAGCTGAAGATAGGCCACTTGCCCTCGTGTATCCGAAGTTATTGGGGTGGCCAAAAAGTTCATTGACACGAACGAACTTTTTGGGCAGTCCAATATTTTTACGACTTCAAACACTCTTGACAAGTCAGCCCTTTCCTCATCACTGCCTTAAAGTTTGCATGGTTTACAGTCTGTTTATCTCTTGCTTTCACAAGACAATCTTGTTCTGAGAATGAGACAGAAAGCCATAATGGAAGGGTTTAGAGGGAGGCTGCTAGGTGAAAAGAGAAAGTTTTATTCTACAACTAATTAGCTGAGTCATATTTGGCAAGTCACTTCTCTGAGCTTCATTTCTCAGAAGTCTCAGGGGAAGAACGTTCCTGCACCCTTTTCTCCACTAGCTTATGAGAGGTTCAAATAAAAACAAATACTAGAAAAGAAATTTTTTTTAACCAAATATTAAAATATGGGGAGAAGTTTTAAAAATAAAACGGGAGGTTCTTGACAACCTTAGAAAAGTTACACAGATATATTTTCTTGAGACTTTGGTGAGGAGATGGAGAAAGTGTCCTAGAGCCTAGATGTCCTGTCAGAACAAAGACTTGGGGTAGAAATAAGATGGCACAGAGGCTAGCAAGGTTTTTCCAAAAAGGATGTCATAGCAGGTCTTAGGGAAGAAAGAGGGATAGGACAGCCACATGCCAATTCATGATGCTCTGAAATATTAAATTGAAAGAAGCAACCTTTGCCCTGTGAGCCTTCAGCAACTCAAAATGTTGCTCCTTTCTCCTGAAGATCTGAAAGCCCCGAACAACTGCTCTTTCTGCCATGAGGCTGGGCTGCTGGGACAAGAGATCAGAAAACTTCAGGCGGAGCTGGAGGGAATTCAGAAGATGCTTCTAGCTCAGGAGGTCCAGCTACACCAGACCTCCCAGACCCACGACCTGCTCTCCACCACCAGCGGTCAAATCTCGCAGGAGATGGGCAGTTGTTCCTTCTCCGTCCACCAGATCAACCAGTCCCTGGGGCTCTTCTTGGCCCAGGTGAGAGGCTGGCAGGCCACCACTGCTGGCCTGGACCTGTCTCTGAAGGATCTCACCCAGGAGTGCTACGACGTCAAAGCGGCGGTACACCAGATCAACTTCACCGTGGGGCAGACCTCCGAGTGGATCCATGGGATCCGGCGGAAGACGGAAGAGGAGACCCTGACCCTCCAGAAGATGGTCACCGACTGGCAGAACTACACGCGGCTCTTCGGCAGCCTGCGCACCACCTCGGCCAAGACCGGAGACGCGGTGAGGAGCCTCCAGGCCACCCTGGGGGCCTCATCGCAGCGCATCAGCCAGAATTCTGAGAGCCTGCATGATCTGGTGCTGCAGGTCATGGGCTTGCAGCTGCAGCTGGATAACATCTCGTCCTTCCTGGATGACCACGAGGAGAACATGCACGACCTGCAGTACCACACGCGCTATGCCCAGAACCGCACGGTGGAGAGGTTCGAGACGCTGGAGGGACGCATGGCCTCCCACGAGATCGAGATCGGCACCATCTTCACCAACATCAACGCCACCGACAGCCACGTGTATAGCATGCTCAAGTACCTGGACGACGTCCGGCTCTCCTGCACCCTGGGCTTCCACACCCAGGCCGAGGAGCTCTACTACCTGAACAAGACCGTCTCCCTCATGCTGGCCGCCACTGACCTGCTCCGGGAGCGCTTCGGCCTGCTCAGCGCCCGCCTGGACCTCAACGTCCGCAACCTGTCCATGATCGTGGAGGAGATGAGGGCCGTGGACACACGGCACGGGGAGATCCTGCGGAACGTCACCATCCTACGAGGTGAGAGGCGGGTGGGCGGGGCTGCCAGGGAGCTCCCAGAGGGGAACACAGAAGGACCTAGTTTGGGGCCCGGTATCCTGGTGAGCTGATACAGCCCTGCCGCAAATGCCTGGGGAGACTGGCTGCTTTCACATCCTTTGGGAAGAGTGTATGGCAGTGGTGAAGAATCCTCCTGCCAATGCAGGAGACGTGGGTTACATCCCTGGTCTGGGAAGATCCCCTGGAGAAGGAAATGGCAACCTGCTCCAGTATTCTTGCCTGGAGAATCCCTTGGACAGAGGAGCCTGGTGGGTTACAGTCCATGGGGTCCCAAAGAGTCAGACACAATTGAGCGACTGAGCACACACACAAGGCTCCTCACCTGCCTGACATACAGATTTGGATTTTTACATGTGGATCTATGTATGAGTCCATAGAGAGATATAGGTAGAGCTCATCCTTTGGAAACTCTGTCTTCTCTTGTTTTCCCCTTCCCTCCCTCTAACTGATGCTCTCCACCATCTGCCCCCTCAGAGGCCCGTCACTCTGATGCCCTCTGCTCCTTCCATCTCACCCTTGCATTTAGGCAGAGTTCTCCAGGGAAATATGAAAGAGAGAGAGAGACTAAAAAGAATTGGCTCATGAGATTGTGGAGACTGGCAAACCCAAAATCTGCACAGCTGATGTCCTAGTTCAAGTTCAAAGGTGGAAAGCTGCTGTAGAACCAGGGAGAGAGAGTGTGTCCATTGGAGGTTTGTTGGGCAGGAAATGCTCTGTTACTCAGGGGAGGGTCAGCCTTTGGTTCTATTCAGGCTTCAACTGATTCAGTGAAGCCCACCCACACTGGGGAGGACAATCCATTTTACTTGGTACTGATTTAAATGTTAATTTCATCCACAAACACCCTGTGCACACACCCAGAATAATGTCTGGCTAAATATCTGGGTATCCCATGGCCCAGGTAGCTTGCCACCTAAGATGAACTATCACAAGTGCATCCCTCATCACCTTGGCACCCATGCCTATCTCCTTTGTTGTTGTTGTTCAGTCGATAAATTGTGTCTGACTCTTGCGACTCTGTGGATTGTAGCCCGCCAGGCTCCTCTCCAGGCAAGAATACTGGAGTGGGTTGCCATTTCCTTCTCAAGGGGATCTTCCCGGACCAGGGATTGAACCTGCGTCTCCTTCATTGGCAGGTGGACTCTTCACCGCTGAGCCACCTGGGAAGCCTGGTCACATTTGGCAAGGAGGCAGGGATCATTCAGGGAGCTCTAGGAGACAGGAGGGAAGTACCCACTATCCCAGACAGCACTGTTGTCTCCATGGAGCTCGGGCTGGAGTCAAGCTCTCTGATCTCTGGTTCTCTTGAACCATTTAGTTTCAAATCTGTGTTGCCTTCAATTTTATATCAGTGAGGATTTTTGCTAATATTTTCTTTACTCTAGATTAGTGGTGTTGCAGGGGCTGGGGGCGAGGTAAGATCTTGTTTGCCTGGTGTCATATTTTTGCAACGAAGCCAGGTACTGAGTATTTCCTTAGTAACTGAGACAGTCTCCCAGTGTTTCATGTAAAATATGTATCTGTGTGACCTCTAGGATGCAGTGTTCCAGGGAAGGCATTAGCAGATAGTTCTCATGATTCATCCTCTAGTAATCTTGTTTTCTTTGGTTGCGTTCAATCTGAGAACAACTGAAATGTAAAGCTTGCCTCATGACAAAGCCTATTCATTTGGCCTCACAATCTTTTTTCTTTTTGGACTTTTATTTTAAATTGGAGTAGAGTTGACAATGTTGTGTTAGTTTCAGGTTTACAACACAGTGATTCAGTCATACACATACATGTATATATTCCTTTTTAAATTATTTTCCAGTTAAGGTTATTACAGGATTTTGAGCAGTGTCCCCTGTTATACAGTAGGTCTTTGTCGGTTATTCCTTTTAAATATAGCAGTGTGTACATGTCCATCCCAAACTACCTAACTAACCCTCCCCTCCACCCTTCCCCACTAGCTTCACAACCTTTGTAGACAAGACGTGTTGCAGGTGTCGTGTCTTTATTTTACAGAACGGTGACCTGAGACTAGGAAAAGTGAAGGGATAGTTCATGGTCACACTGTGATTTAGATCCTGACCCTTTACCATGGCTCTGAGGTGCAAATGTCTGGTGATCAGCCAGGAGACACTGAGAGTGTGAGCTCACAGATACCAAAAAATGCATTTCCACTGAGGTCCTGCTTACGCGTCATGTGTGGGACAGACTGGAAAAGAAGGAAATGGTACCAAAAGTGTCAGAAGTGAACCATCTGAGACCCTCATTCCAAGTAAAACCCAACAATAGTCATGAAAATTTATATTTGCGCCTGTCCTAATGATGGCAGAGTTCTCATCAAAGGACTTCATCTTAACTGGAGACCAAGGGGGGGACATCACTTTGAGCCGCCTTTGACTCTCAGTTCAACCTCTGTATGCTTGTTTAAATGCTGTCCTTTGGCCAACATTCTTCTTGGTTGTTAAATCGCCACATATAAAGCCTCTCACATCTGAAAGAAGATTTCAGGGACAAAATGTGCATCGCTTCCCACAGGAAGTGCCATTTATTCACTCGTTCACCTATGGACAGGGGCTGACAGGATCTCACGCTGGGCCGGCAATGAGGTCTCCCTCTGTCTGGAGCCAAGCTGCTATCTAGAATGAAGGAAGAGGGACATTCATGGCCAAGGGCTGACTGAAGGGCTGGGGCTCATAGACTGTGCAGGAAAGGAGCCTGGATTCTAATTTGCTCTGGGTCTTTAGGCAGAATCACTTAATCTTTCCAGGCCTCTGGTTTTTGGGGGTCTTTTGGTTTGTTTTGTTTCATATGTAAATCAGTGGATAAGACCAGTTGTTCTCTGAGATATCTTCCAGCTCTGTGATGAAGTCTGAGTCTCCATTTGCCAACCAGAAAGCTTTGGTACCTCTCATAGAATGTTTCCTCTCATTCTAGATTTCCGCCATTTCCTCCTCCAGGGGATCTTCCCAAACCGGGGATCAAACCCTTGTCTCTTCATTGGCAGGCAGATTCTTTACCACTGGGCCCCCTGGGTAGGGAGGGAAATGCCTGTTTGGAGGATTAGCAGGTTTACTTGTTATCGAGCAACGAGGGCAGTCAGTGAAAAGGAGAACGATGCCATCTTCTGCTGGTGCCTGCATGGGAGCTTACCGTAACGCCTGGCCTATTTCTGGCACATTCTTAATTCCCGGGCACCATCCTTGAGGCTTCCCACCTATGGGCCTTGGCCTGTAGTTTTCATCTCCCCTGCCCCAGAGGACTGAAGAGATGAAGCCTAATTCTTCGCTCAGTGTTTCCATCCCTCGGTCCTTACCACAGATGCCCACACAGTTTCCTTTCCTCCTGAATACCAGCCCTGGGCCTTGACAGCCCTGAGCCCCAGCCCCAGTGAAACTGCTAGAAACCCTTCTCAGCCTCTCTGCCCAAACCACTTACTAGTCAACAAATGGCTTGAGAGGAAAAGGGGCAAAGAAAGTCAGGCTTCCTTCAACAAGTTCCCCTTTCCTGGGGAGTCTGGCGTTTGATCTCTCTCCAAAACTTTCCGAAGGATGTCTTGGCACGGTGCCTAATGGTTCTAATTGTTCTCAGTGGGAGCTCTATTTGGTACAAATTAATCCATCATAAACTGACGTGGAAATCCACTGGCATTTTTTCAATGCTCCTCAGGTAACAAGAACCAGGATTGAGTGTCCCTGACCCAGGCTAATATTCTCATTGAACAAAGGGGAGCCTGCAGACAGAATTCAGTCCAATGAGGACCAAATGATGTACCCAGTCACCCAATTTGTTAGTATGGGAACTGTGCTTTCCATGGCACCAGGCCAATCTCCTGAGAGGCCCCCCCGCTTCTGTTTCTGTCTCTGTCCACCTGTTTTGAACAGGGGGGTGGGCTGTGTCCCCCCTCCCCGCCCATGCACCCCCCTACTCGTGGGTGGGCAGTGCTGGTACACTGACGCCTTGGTGCATCTGCTCAGCCCCCCAGCCCCTCCCCACTCCCAGTGCAGACCCCGAGCAGACCACCTACTTGTCCCAGACATGTAGTCAGTGTGGCTCTGCCCTAATGTGCCGGGATGGCCTAATTACAGCCCAGGGCTTCCTGAGTAATTATGGGCCTCTCCTCCGGTCTCCAGGATGCCCGGTTCCTCTCCCATCTCTGCATCTTGGCCACTGCTGCCCCCATTTTCTCTTTTGTCCTAAATGTGCCCCCGCTGCTCAGAGCAGCTCTTAGCTGCTCCCCACCCTCCATCCCTGAGACACCCAGATCTTATTACAGGCTGGGTGAGGGGCCCCTGTTGCAGAGAGCCCCCGATCAGCCCGTTTCTGCATCCCTCCCCGCCATGCTAACTGCTGAACTCTGCTTGTTGATTTCCTCCCCGCCAGCTCTCCCTCTCTGACCGCATGACTCATGGCTGGCCCTGGAGGGACAGGCGGAGGCTTGGCTCACCCGAGGGAGACAGTCCTTAAGGTGACGCCTTCCTGGCTCAGTGGGCCCCCTCCTCCGGGCAGCGACAGAGTGGGAGGTCCTGGCTGTGGGAGCAGGTCTGGGAACAGGCCCCAAGCCTCTCGGGCCTGGGTTTGCATCCTATCTCCATCCTCCCTGGTTAGTGATGGTTTGCAAGTTGTCACTCTCTGCACCTCAGTTTCTCATCTGTAAAATGGGGTGATGATCTCAATGTATGATGCCACGGACATAGGAGAGACTCAGTTTCCCTCGCCCTTCCCTTCCCCGAGAAAATAGATCTCAGAGAAGTTAGGATGAGTGGGGGCCAACGTGGGCACGCTGACACCAGACGTGGTGGGGAGAGACCAATGCCTGTAACACAGGCCCTGTTCCCAGTGGAGCCTCCCCGACGGATGTCCTCATCAAGCCACCACCTAGGAGCCCTCCATGGGTTCTCAGAGACGGGTCAGCAGCGGCAGGCGTGGAGAGACTGTGGAGAGGGAGGTGACCCATTCCTGGCAGGCCTCCTTCCACGGGCACTGGGGGCTGCAGTCCTGAGGCGCTGGTGAGGGGACAATGAGACTCAGGCTTCTGCTCAAACCTTCCCCCTCGGCACAGGGCCCGCAGGCTTTCCCACCAGGGGAAAGACACCCAAGAGCTTCCCCAGAAAGAGGCGCCTGAGGAGGCTGGAGGGGAGGAGCACACAGAAGCCTTTGTTCTCTGCTCTTTCTCCCCCGCTGTTGGCACAGAAACCCTGAGAAATCCTTCTGCGGGCTGCTGCGCCCTCAGGGGCCAGGGAGCAGAGGGCGTGTGCTGGAAATGCTGGTGCAGGAGGGCGGGGGTGTCCCAGGGAGGGGCAGGGGGCTCCTGGTGGATCTGTGAGCATGCTTGTCCAGATAAGACTTCACAGGTGTTCCCTGAGTCCAGGCAGGGGCTGGGAACCATCCACCCAGGGAACAAGAGTGGAAGTCACAGGAGAGGTCCTAGGATGAGAGAGAGAGGGACCAGGGAGCTGGGGCAAGCCTGGGCAGCGTGTTCCTAGAGCAGGAGGGACAGAGGTGGAAGGAGAGCTGCTGGTGGAGCCGCCGTGCCCTGGGAGACTGTCAGGCGTGATCTCAGAGAGATAGGTGATGTGAGCACAAATGCGCAACGCCTTGCCCAGAGTCGCTTCATGCCCTCAGACTCCCTTGCACGTGAACAGACTGCAGGGGCCTCTCCACCTCCGGAGGGCTGTGCTGTTCCAGCCCCCACCCCCGCCCTGGCTGCCCCAGGTGCCCAGGGCAGAGCTGGGAGTGGACACGCTGGTTCCCAGCCAGACTGGGGGTGGAGGTCCCTGCCGGCCGTCTCCCCGAGCCCTGGTTGTGCCTGTTGTTCTGGCCGCTGTGCTGCAGACGATCGTTGCAGACAGAAGGGCAGGTCAAGCTGTTCCCTGGTCACCGCCACCACTGCCAGCCCGCCCCACGCCCACTCCAGCCAGCCGATGATGGCATGCCAGCCGGTAGTGCTGGCGGGCCATGTGAGCCGAGCCCGCACAGGCCACAGCCCCGCTGTTTGTGGGAGGTGGGCATGGGCAGGAGGTGGCCCGGAACAGGTTTTTATTGGCCCCAGTGGGGCTGAGTATGTCTGGGCTCCGGTTTCCAGTTTAGATCGTAATTGGAGAACGGTGTTCAGTGACTCTCTGCTCCACTTACAAACCCTCCGAGAGAGAGATGAGCAGGGGTGGAAGTGTGGGGGGAGGCCAGGACAGACGGAGGCAGTGTCTGCATTAGCGGGGAGAGGGGCCCAGGGCTGCAGAACTGGGTCAAGCCCGCTGGAAGGGCTCCCAGCTCCTGCAGAGAAGATCCCTTCTCTTCAAGGGCTTCTGGTTTCTGCTTGGGGACCCCTGGGCTACCACGTCACTTCTCTGGTTGCCTCCACTGTGAAATGTGGAAGTTGGACTAACCCCCACCAAGCTCAAAAACTCCAGGATTCTCTTGCAAAGGCGATGATGTAACAGTTGAGTTCTCGGGGAGAGTGGAGCGTGGGCAGAAGAATTCACCTCCCAGCCCCAGGGTCATTGTCCCCACCCCCCACCCCACGAGCTGGTACCCAGACCACTGAAAGCCAGGGCTTTGCTGCGCCTTAACCCCAAGGGGGCTAAAGCCATTCTCTGCAATTCATGTCCTCACCAGGCCAGAGGGTGCTGTCTCCTCTACTCCTGGGGCATCCTACCTGCTTAGGCCAGATTGACAGCCACACTCTAACCTGTGTTCTGAGGGTGGGTGGGTACAGCTCTGAGAGGTGGTGACTCTGATCTACCCAGCAGGCAGATAGGCAGTTAAGGTCATCTGACCCCTGCTTTGCGTGCTAGGCTGGGCTGTTTAAGGAAGGGCATATAGGGGGAGGTGGGAGGAATTGGGAGACTGGGATTGACACATACACAGTACTGATACTATGCATAAAATAGATAACTAATGAAAATCTACTGCACAGCTCAGGGAACTCTACTCAATACACTGTGGTGGGTGACCTGAATAGGAAGGAAGTCCAAAAAAGAAGGGAGATGTGTGTATGTTCCCTGGTAGCTCAGACAGTAAAGAATCTGCCTACAATTCAGGAGACCTGGGTTTGATCCCTGGGTCAGGGAGATCCCAGGAGGAAATGGCAACCGACTCCAGTATTCTTGCCTGGAGAATCCCTTGGACAGAGGAACCTGGTGAGTTACAATCCATAGGGTCGCAAAGAGTCAGACATGACTGAAGCGACAGCACTAGCCCTATAGCTGATTCACTTTGCCGTACAACAGAAACTAACACAACTTTGTAAAGCAACTATACTCCAAATAAAAATCAATTAAAAGAGAAGGGATTCATCCTGGCATCTCCCCCAGGCCCTACGCCAGAGCTGGGTGGGAGCTAGGGGTCCAGAACTGTTTGGTGCCTCCCCCTTTTCAAGCATATACTGAGCTTTCCCTGCTGTGTGCCTAAGCGCCATGCCCAGGGGTGGGTGATGGGAAGCGTGGTCCTCACTATCTTCTTGGGGCCCCACAGTTCAGTGGGGTCTACCAGAGAGAAACCAAGGATTTGCTTTCACTATACTGTGACTTCTCTTCCTACATGTCAAATAAAAAATTCAGAAAGTAGCAGCCCCAAGAGTTCAGAGGAGAGGCTGGAGTGGTCAGGGAGGACTTCCTGGAGGAGCTGCCCTTTCTCTGGTTTGTTGTTATTCCCACTCACTCACACTGGGAGGCATCTACTTCTCACACCTCACTTCACACATCACTTTCTTGGCTTTCTCCTCCATGTCACCTGACTCCACTCCTGGTCCCAGGTGCCCAAAGGTGAAGCCTGGGGTTGGGATGGGGGCGGGGCAGGAGGTAAGGACCACAGCAGTTGAAGTCCATAATGAGTATTAGCGTCCAGGTTGGTCTCCAGAGCAAAACAGATGATCCTGGATGGCCATGACCTTTGCCCTGAGCCGCCCAGCTCGCTCAGCCTCCCACCTGAGTGCCCACATGGAACTTGAGCCTAGTCCTGAAGTTAGAAATATGAGTGCCCACCTGGTGCAGGCATTGTGCCAAACACCTATGCATGTGAGCTCGGGATGGGCTCCCAGCCTCACTTAAGATTCTCAGCCCCCCTTCACAGCTGGCCAAGCTGACTTACAGGGGTCATTTCAGCGGCCTGAACCCCCAGAGCCAGTAGTTGGCAGACCTGGGACTTCAGACCCGTGGGTGTCAGAGTGCCTGGCGCCCACTTCATGGGACAGCCTCAGGAGACCTGTCCTCGTACACTGACTTCTGCCCTCTTCTCTCTGACCCTAGGTGCCCCCGGCCCTCCAGGACCCAGAGGACTCAAGGGAGATGTGGGCGTGAAAGGGCCTGCTGGTGGCAAAGGACCTAAAGGAGACCCCGGCAGCTGGGGGCCCCCAGGACCCCAGGGTCCTCAGGGGCAGCCTGGGGAGCCGGGGCCTGCGGGGGAAAGGGGACCAGTTGGCCCAAGAGGTTTCCCAGGCATCAAAGGGTCAAAGGGCAGCTTCGGAACTGGGGGCCCAAGAGGACAACCGGGCCCCAAAGGGGACATGGGGCCCCCAGGGCCAGAGGGCCCCCCAGGATCTCCAGGGCCAGAAGGGCCTCAGGGAAAACCAGGGATCGCCGGGAAGACAGGGTCACCAGGCCAGCGGGGGCCCATGGGGCTGAAGGGTGAACCAGGGATCCCGGGTCCCCCCGGCTTCCCCGGGCCCCCAGGCCCACCAGGAAGCCAGAGCAGCTACTGAGGAGAAGTCCAGTCCCAGAAACTGCCACACCAACGGCAGGGAGTGGGCTTTGGCAGAGAGAGGCCCCTATAAAGCCACACCTACAGACGTGTGGTCCTTTGACCCCAAAGGGGGCTCCCCCAGGCCTGACCCTGCACCTCCGGGCTCCCCAGTAGTGACTTACCATAGGAAGCAGCCCCTTACACACACACACACACACACACACACACACAGGTGCATCTCCCTGCTGGCCAGGGCAGCTGACTGGGTTTCCCTGGCTGGGCGGGAGGAGAGGTTAAGAGAAGCGCCCTCTCCCGTGACGAGCCTGCCAGGGAGGTGGCTACCTCGGGGGGACAGTCTGGACTCCGGCTCTGAATGGGTGGCCAACGCCAGTTTTTCTAGCATCTTCACCCCATCCTATCTGGCTGGCAGTTCCCTGAGGCTCCCAGGGGTTGAAAAGACCCAGGAGAACATTTATGGTGGGGCGAAGGGTGCGGGGGGCGAGGGGGGCGGCGGGGGGAATTGTGGTTCAAACTCTAGGGACAGGGTGGGCTTGGCAACCAGAAGACCCTCCCCCGTAACCATGGGAACAGGGTCCCGGGCCCAGCCCTGCCCTGCACAGGACCTGGTCCACCTGGGCCCTGAGGGCTACATCCCCAGGAGCTCAGCCTCTTTTTCTGCACCTCCAGAAAACTTCCTGCCTCATCCTTGTGTCTGCCTCCAGGAGCATCCCAGGAAGAAACCAAGTGGGAATTCCATCTGCACCAGGGCTCTCTCCTAGCCCTGGAATTTTCTGTCAAAAGAGGAGGCCCCACTGCAATCCTGGGGTGACCTCTTTGTGGTGACCGGGGGAGGGCTGCCCCTTGACTGGCTCTCCTTCCCCCCCCCCGACCTCACCCCACTGTGACCCAGACTGGCCCAAGGCCTCTCTGCAGAGACAGCAACCCCAGACAAGGGGAAGGGGTCACATCCCTCTGACGTCACCCCTCACCCACCTCCGTCCTCCTGCATAGCGGGCAGCGAGGAGCACTGGGCCGTCCCCAGCATGGTGAGCTCCCAGTGAAGCTGCCCTTTCTTTGTGTCCTAACAGATAATGACCCCTCCTCCAGGCTGGGTGCTTGCAGCTGTCCTCCCTCCCGACCTCACCCAGAGACTGGCCTCTCCCCCATCCAGAAGCCTTATCGATGACCCCCCCCCCCAACCTTCTTGTAACAGGTGTGCAACTGGCTTGCACTCCCGCCCCCCCAACTGCGTGTAGTTCTCCTGTCTACATATGATATCATGCCACCTAGTATCACCGACTCAGTAAAGACCTGTTTCCAGGAGGGAGGTGTCTTCTGGTCCTTTCTGCCTGATGGGGGCCCTGATGCCTTCAGAGTCTTCACCTCGCCTGGCCTTTGAAGGGGAGCCAAGGGGTGAAAGTTCCCTTAAATCTTCAGTCCCACTGTGGAGTCCGGGGCTGAGCCCTCAGCCCCTCGCTCCAGAAACACTGAGCTCTGCGGGGCCTTCCCAGCGGTCCCGAGGGGCCAAGGGGCCAGGATGACTGAGGGGTTACCCACAGCGAGCAGGGACCTAGGGGAAGCCACATGGACTTACTAATCTTGCAGCAGAGTCCCGGAGCGCGTGTGCTAGAACAGGATTGGAAAAGAAGATCTGACCCCTGAGAGTTACCTGCTTCCTCCTCCTCTTGTTCCTAAGATGAGGAGATGAAGCAGAAAAGAGGAGGAAAGCAGGCCAGACCTGCCACAGAGGGCCTGACGTCCACAGAAAACACAGGACACCTGGGTCCTTGTGAGTCAGCGGGCCTGATCCAGGAAGTAAGATCTGGGATCTGTTCCAAGGGATGAGCCAGGGGCTGGAATGAGAGTCTAGCCCGCAGGGATCAAACACTGAGGTGCTCTCAGAACCTACACAGAAACACAGAAGAAAAACTCCTGGGTCCCGGACGATTGCCACCAACATGTCCCTGGCTGTGCGGTTTGGGGGGATCAGCTTGGTTCACCAGCACGGGGTGGAGGCGGGCACCTGGAGCCCGTCCCTGCGGCCACCCCCATGGAGCCAGTTCATGCCGCCACCCGGGTCACAGGAGTCCCCTCGAGCTCTAGCAAGGAAACAGGCAGGGGGCACGCATGACAATGCACATGAATTTGAGCAAACTGCGGGAGGCAGTGGAAGACAGAGGAGCCTGGCGTGCTGTAGTCCATGGGGCTGCCAAGTCAGACACGACTTAGAGACTAAACAACAGCAATTTATGACCAGGAGGACGCAGCAGGTAAAATCGAGCCTATGAAACTTGATGCAGAGCTCCATCCAGCAGTGGCTAGAAGTGGGGAACTGCCAGCGTCTCAAGCCCCCATCTTCACTTCCAGAGAACACACCAGTCTCCTCTCTCTTCTCCCTTATTGTCCCCTTCCTGCTGATCCACATTTTCTGTTTGCATGAGGCCCAGTGTATCAGGGTCACTGCTCACCACCAAAGGGCCCAGCCCTACAGTTTCTAGTTCCCAGACTTAGGAGGGCAAAATCTGATCACTTACCCTGTGGGTTCAGGGGTCTGGCCACAGAGGGAGAGGGTTCACTCTGTAAAAGAATTAGAGGTACAAGAACAAGAGTTACCATGAACAAAACTGCCCACAAAATCTGTGTTTGGCAGCAGAGGAATAGAATAACCTGAACAGTAACAATAATAGCAAATGCCGATGGAAGAGTTACTATGCAGCATAATACCATTTTAAGCACTTTACATATTAACTCATTTAACCGTCACTACAATGTGTAATGTAGCTATATATCTGTAGTCTCTATACTGTGTGTGAAATCATCATGAGCAATGTTAGAAAATCCAGCATTTTGATGGAGTGTTTGCATGTGTTCAGTCACTCACTCATGTCCAGTTCTTTGCAACCTTATGGACTGCAGCCTGCCAAGCTTTTCTGTTGGTGGGATTTTCCAGGCAAGAATACTGGAGTGGGTTGCCATTTCCTCCTCCAGGGGATCTTCCTAACCCAGGGATCAAACCTGCGTCTCTTGTATCTCCTGCATTGGCAGGCAGATCCTTTACCACTGTGCCACCTGGGAAGCCCCTCTATCTTTACTGTGTCTATATTATTATTATTCCCATTTTACAGATGGGGAAACTGAGGCTTGGAGAGATTAATTAGCTTCCCAAACTCACAGAGCTAATGAGTTTTTAGATGTATCCCTATTGAAATTCAGTCTTGGGTAATTTAACTTCTCTTCTGTTTCCTCCCCTGTAAAGTGGGGGTTATAATTGTACCTACCCCAAGAGGCCGCTGAGGGGATTAAATAAAATGATGCTCTTGGCCAGTTTCCAGCAAATTAGTCAGCCCAGGCCGCCGTAACAAAATATCGCAGATTGGGTGGCTCAAACAACAGAAATTTATTTTCTCAGAGCTCTAGAGGCTGGAAATCTAGGATCAAGGTGCCCGCTTTTCCTGGCTTCTGGCTGTGCTGTCATGTGGGGTCAGGGAGAGAGATGCCTGGGGGAGGGGAGAGAGAGACACACACTCAGAGATAGAAAGGCAGAGGGAGAGCCCTCTTTCTCGTCTTGGAAGCCTGCAGGCCTGTCGGACTAGGGCCTCCCTCATTTAACCTTCACTGGGCTTCGCAGGGGCCTTCCCTGGTGGCTCAGATGGTAAAGAATCTGCTGCAATGCAGGAGACCCCGGATCGATCCCTGGGTCCGGAAGATGTCCTGAAGAAGGAAACCACAACCCACTCCAGTATTCTTTCCTGGAGAATCCCATGGATAGAGGAGCCTGGAGGGCTACAGTTGGTGGGGTTGCAAGGAGTCGGACATGACTGAGCACACACGCGCACGTGCAAACCTTCATTGCATCCTAAGACCCTCACCCTAAGTACAGTCACAATGAGGGTCAGGGTCTCCATATATGGATTTTGCAGGGACACAATTCAGTGCTGGGTGCCCAGCGATGGTTACCATCCCATAAACATCAGGCAAACTCATGCTGGTGTTTATCCTACAGACTCCGGCTTTCTGAAGGATAGCATTACTCACCACTTCCCTCTGCAGATGAGCGGCCAGAACATGAGCTCCCACACACACCCACCCACCCACCTTCCCTGCATGATTAGAGCCAGGAACGAGCTGGTGACTCACTTGGCTCCAAACACTTTGCTATTCAAGTGAGAAACCAACGGATGAGAAGGGCCTGAAGGGCTTGTTGCCCAACAGGGATCAGAACTCTGGTGTCTGGGTTCCTGGGCAAAGCAGTTTCTCATGTCTCGGGTTTTTCAGCAACTTGGCTATTGGTTAGAGCCATCAGGCAGCAAATGATGCACATCCCCCAGAAAGTGCCCCCCCCACATACAAACACACACACACACACACACACACTCCCTCTCTCTGTCTCATTTCATCAAACAGCATCCCCCCCCTGCCCAGCACCACTAACACGGCCCTTCAGGGCATCTCATTTCAGCTCCGTTCAGTTCAGTTCAGTCACTCAGTTGTGTCCGACTCTTTGCTACTCCATGGACTGCAGCATGCCAGGCTTCCCTGTCCATGACCAACTCCTGGAGCTTGCTTAGACTCATGTCCATCGAGTTGGTGATGCCATCCAACCATCTCATCCCTTCTGCTGCCTTCAATTTTTCCCAGCATCAGGGTCTTTTCCGATGAGTCAGTTCTTCACATCAGGTGGCCAAAGTAATGAAGTTTAAGCTTCAACGTCAGTCCTTCCAATGAATATGCAGGGCAGATTTCCTTTAGGATGGACTGGTTGGATCTCCTTGCAGTCCAAGAGACTCTCAAGGGTCTTCTCCAACACCACAGTTCAAAAGTAACAATTCTTCGTTGCTCAGCTTTCTTTATAGTCCAACTCTCACATCCATACATGATTACTGGAAAAACCATAGCTTTGATTAGATGGACCTTTGTTGGCAACCTTTGTTGGTCTCTGCTTTTTAATATGCTGTCTAGGTTGATCATAGCTTTTCTTTCAAGGAGCAAGTGTCTTTTAATTTCATGGCTGCAGTCACC